TAACAACAACAACAAATGTATGTGAAAGTAGGATAATGAATAAGAAGTCCATATAAGAATTGATTCATTTGAGCTATGATGTTGGAGAAGAATATTAAAAGTACCATGGACTGTTAGAAGAACGCATAAATCTATGTTGGAAGAAGTACAGTCAGAATACTCCTTAGAAGCCAGGATGTCCTGACTTCATCTCTCATACTTTGGACAAGATTATCAGGAGTGACCAGTCCCTGGAGAAGGACACAGTGCTTGATAAAGTGGAGGGTCAGAGAAAAAGAGGAAGACCCTTAGCACAATGGCTTGGCACAGTGCAGCAGTTGTGGACTTAAATGTAACAGCTGTGAGGATGGTGCAGGCCGGATGGTGTTTCGTTCAGGTATGCATAGTGTTGTTATGAGTCACAACTGACTTGCTGGCACCTAACAACAACAGTAACAAAATTTAAACCGGCTGAAGTATACATGTTAAGTGTGGAATTTTGTTATCCCCAAGATATGTGTTAATGAATCCTAATCCCTATGCTTGTGGTCAAGCATCCTGGTGTCACAGTGCTTCAGTGCTCAGCTGCCAAGAGAAATGATACGAGCTGCCAAGAGAAATGATACGAGCTTACTAGCAGCTCTTTGAGAGAAAGATGTGTTGATATGTTCTGTAAAGATTTCAAACAAAATCGAAACCCACTGCCTTGGAGTCAACTCCAACTGCCCTACAAGGTTTCCAGGGAAAATGTCTTTACAGAAGGCAAATGTCACATCTTTTCCTGTGGAGCAGTTGGTGGGCAGGAACCTGGTGGGTTAGCAGCTAACCTCTCAACCCCTGCACCACCAAGGTACCTTCCATAAAGATTTACAGCTATGGGGCAGTCCTACTCCATAGGGTCACTCACTGGCAGTGAGTTTGGTTTTGGAGTTCAGTGTCTATATAATGCCATTTGGGAACAGGGTTTTCCTTGTTACCTTAGAGGCAGTATCACTATGAGGTGTGTCTTAAATCAATCTTTCAGGAGTTAAAAAACAAATTAAGCAAGTAGCAAAAAAGCGGAGCTGGGGGAAGACAGATGAAACGTAACAGAAAGATCATGAAGACATGGAGAAACAGAAGCTAAGAGACAAGGACCTCCCTGCGGACTCCACAGAGAAAGAAAGCCTTCCCCTAAAGCTAGCACCCTGAAGTTGGACTTTTAGTCTCCTAAACTGTGAGAAAATAAGTTTCTGTTTGTTAAAGCAGAATACCCTTGTGGTATTCCTGTTACGGCAGCATTAGAGAACTGAGACAGCTCCAGAACAAGTTTTCTACAACAGAAGCTGAGCTTCTCTGATCACTCTTTGGAGTAAAGGACAGAATATTATGAAGTCAACTATCAACACCTAGTGGGGCGCAGAACCCTATCATGCCACCCATCTCTTTATTTTATTTTAACTGGTTCAATGCCATGAAAAACAAAAACAAAAAACATTCAACCCAGTAATGTTTGTGACAATGTTTCTGAGATGACCAATATCAGAAAGTTTAAGATGTCAATATTATTGAACTCCTATCAGCTCTGGTAGCGTAGTGGTTATGAGTCGGACTGCTAACCTCAAGGTCAGTAGTTTGAAGCTACCAGTGTTTCCATGGCAGAAAAGTGAGGCTTTCTGCTCCCATAAAGAAAAAGCCTTGGAAACCCTATGCAGGGTGGCTATGAGTCAGAACTGACTCCGTGGCACATCACCACCACCACCACCACCACCACCATCATAACAAGAACAACTGAGTTACAAACAATGAATGGATGTTTGTCAAAAAAGTAAAATTGGTTAAAACATTATACATTTTGGCTCAGATTCCCCATGCAGGCACACTCTAGTAATTCCAGTCCAAAGTTTTCAATATAGAGAGAATCCTGTTTCAATACACCATACACCAAGGTAGTGTTTCCTTACTATTTAAGAAACAAAGTATATGTTGATTGGGAATTAATAATTATGACAAAAGTGAATCCAGGAACACATTTTGAATGAATACCTACTCTAGGCAAGGCACAAGCACAAGAAGTAAAATACCTACTGCTATAAAGTACTTAAATTAATATAAGCCAATTATTAGAAGCCAATATACAAAATGTAGCAGCAATATTTTTTTCCTGAGGTAAAGATCTATAAATCTGAAAATGTCTTTGCTTGTTCAAATTTTTGAAAGTGTACTCCTTCACAAAAACTGTTTTAAATAAAGAGTAAATGACAACTATAAGCAAAAAACTTAGTCCTCATTTTGTAAAGATTCTCCAGAAAATAATACAGCTTCACCCAAACTCAGAATGTTAAGCCTAGGCATTACACTTACAAACAGGTAGGTATTTGAAGAGCATCATCACCCAAGTTTGTCTCCTTGCTTCTCTTCACCTGGAGTCAGATAATTTACACAATTACACTTCCTTCCCAACACTCTATTGTCTCTATACTGTATTTTCTAACCCTTGGGATACAGCTTCAAAATTTATGAAATCTGCTAAAATGCACATAAAGAAAAAAAAAAAAAATTACCAACCACTTGATAAAGGGATGTAACTAAAACACCAAGAGCAGCAAACACCAATCCAAGGAAATTAAACTTCACATCGTAATAAGAGTTTAGGATTACACCTAAAGTTATAGGAATCTGTAAAGAAAAAGAAGTACATATTGTTCAGATTAAATTCAAGAGATAAACATTTAGTATTCTGTTACAGTACTTTACAAGGTTTTTATAAACACATCATTGGGAAACAATAAAATTCTTTAAATGTTTTTTTTTTTGAAAACTGGTTATTAATCCTATTTTTTCAAAGTGAAATATGATGTTATATTGGTGTTCACATTTAATTCTACTTTAAATTTGGGGCAAATAATGAAACGATGTTACACTTTTCAATAAATGAGTATCAACGTATACATGTATAAGTACATGGATCCTAAAACTAATGTCTAAACAACAAATAAATATGTAACTACAAAGTGCTCTGTGGGTTAATGCTTGTACTGCAAAGTGGGTTTGAACCACAAGGTTGGTGGTTCAAGATCACTAGCTGCTCCTTTGAAACCCTATATAGGGTTGTTATGGGTCAGAACTGACTCAACGGCACGTAACAACAACAACCAAAGCAAAGAAAATATTGTATCTTTTCAAGCGCCAGCAAGTCGTTTAGGACACATATCGACCCTGTGCAAGGTTTCTGAGGCTGTAAATCTTTGCTGGAACAGAAAGCCTCATAGGTCTTCTGGGAGCGGCTGGTGGGTTTTAACGACTTGGGGTTTGCAGTCGTGTATCCTACAGTGCCACTGTGTTCCCTTTATGATTTATAAACCCCTTCAATGTGTCATCATCATACTCTGCGATTTGAATTTTATGCTAAACTTTTAAATATTTGTCATATATGGTTTGGTTCCCTGAAGGAGGAAAGCCGTTTTCAGTTTGTTTTGCAGACCTTCTGATACATTGTATTGCAACACATTTAACGCTGTTTTCTTTCTTATCTAACACATAAAGATTTTCATCAAACAAGTTATTAAAACGCACATCAACACACCCTTCTGGGCTAAAAGCCCAATAGAACGCCAATATGGCTTACCCCACCTCCCTAAAATAAGCAGAGTTCACATGCTCACAGATTACTCATTTGAGAATTTCTAGACAACTGGAAAGAGCGTGGCACAAGGTTAGACAATGCACAGTCAAATTTCCCGGGAAGACAGACACTCCACAGGCAGTTAGAGGAGCGCCTCGGGAAACAAGATACTCACCAGCGTGAGTTGTATTCTGGTGGAGAAGGTCTTCTTGTAGTAGAAAGTCTGGATAGCTATGATGACTGGCGTAGTCATAGCCTTGGCCAGCTGATAGGTACCTATGGTGTTGTTCTGCAAAGAGAGGTTGGTGAAGACCACGAAGCCACAGAAGCTGAGAGCCAGGAAAAGGAGCTTGGAGGGTGACAGACTTTTGGGGGCAAAGATGTTCAGCTTCTGGCAAATGTACAAGCCCAGCCAGGTGACCACGAAGTGCACCAGGGTCAGGCTCATGTTGGGGAATCCGTGGTGCACATAGATCCATTTGTTGAGGAACACGATGCAGATGGACACCAGCAGGTTGAGCAAGAGCCCGGCGGCGATGCGCCCATTGCCCCGCACTCGGTCCACCAGTGATGCCATGATCCCCACTTTTAGCTGAGCGGCGACCTCCGCGAAGCCAGGGCCCTCCAGACTCCTAGGAGGGAGCTCGATCTGTCTCCGGCTGCCCTTCCCCTCCTCCTGTGCAGCTGCCTCTCACAGCCGCTGGCCTCACCCCTCGGCTTGGGAGAAGCTTGCACCCATCGGGTCTCCAACCCACAGACTCCTTAGCAGTACTGACGGGCTCCGCCACCGCCCATTGAGACGCCCGGGACGCGGCAGCGCGCTCCACTCATTACTACCCCCCACGCCCCGCCTCCGTCCTTGGCCACGTGACTCGGGGCGCCAGGGCTTCCGCCCTAGAACGGTCAGAGGCGGAGCATCGTCTGCGCAGGCGCGTTAGGCGCTGGGTGAGGCACAGTTGGTGGGACTTCGTAGCGCCTCCCGCTTATCCTAGACACTGACTAGGCTGTTCATTGACCACAGCCTCTTGACTTTCTATATTCCTTGTATGTCAGTTTATCCGACTGGCTAGATATCTTCCCTTTCAGATTTGTGAAGTGTGCTATGCAGACACGGTTGGCCAGTTTGAAATATTTAATCCACTGCTCTGGAGTTGAGGGTTACGGGGGCAGTGGCCCACATCTCTCAGCGAGCAGGCACTGGGCGGGGTCAGTATCCTCTGCTGTCACATCAACTCACACCCTATGAATGAGCTGGGGAAAAGAACAATTGGAGTCCGTCTACGGTGCCTGGGCTGCAACCTGAACCCAGAGTGGGACCACGCGGAAGCAGGGACCCCCTTAACTCTTTAACTCTCGGCCGCACTCACCTGGAAGTTAGCCTCCGTAACAAGGAGCTGAGGGAGGCGGGGAAGAGAGAGGTTGTCAATCTGCCCTTCCTAGGGACAAACCGTAGTCCTGAGAACTCCTAGTGTGATGCTAGAGAAGCACTGGGCCACGAACCACAAGGTCAGCAGTTCAAACCCACTAGTTGCTCCTTGCAAACACTGTACCAGGTCGCTATTAGTCGAAACCGACTGGTGGCACTAACAACTGGGAGAGATGTGGAGTTGTCTTGGCCACATTTAGCCCGAGCAGAAGGGGGCAGTTAGAGGAAGCAAGTTGGAGCCCAAGTGCCATCCATAGGCACTCACTTTTCTCACCAAGATGTAGTAAATTTTCTTAACTATGTGGTATATGCCCTTATGGCAATTTCAAGAGACTTTAAATTATTGCTTTATATAATTTTCACCAAGTCTTGCTGTTTTTCTGGGGGCAGAGGTGGGAAGAGGGCAAGACCCAGCTCCTCACAAGGTCTTCCAGAACTTCGAGAATTTTCAGTTTCTCCTCTTTTTTGAAATGTTTTATACTTTCATGTTTTACATTTAAGTCCATGAACCATTTTGAATTTTTCATATAAAGTGTGCGATTTAGGTCATGGTTAATTTTTTTAGCACATGGATGTTCAATTGCTCTAGCCCCATTTATTGAAAAGGTTAGCTTTCATTTCACTGAATTGCTTTTTCACCTTTGTGAGAATGTTGAACATACTTACTTGTGTGGAGCTGCTCCTGGGTTTCCTTCTGTTTCACTGGTCTATTTGTGCATTTAAAAATTTTTTTATTACTGTAGCTATCTATGTAAGTCGTAAAATCAAAATCGCTGGTTATTTTAGTTTCTTTGCCTTCTAATATGCTTTTTAGAGTAATATCGATGTAGGTTAATGCGCAGGACTGTAAGTGAAGTGCAAGGTTGGTGATGCAAGCTCACCAGCTGCCCCTCAGAAACCCTCTACAGGGTTGTTGTGGCTCACCTATTCGATCGCACTTAATAATATATGTATGTATATAGAAGCTCAGTAGCTCTGGAGTTTAAGCATTGGACTGTGAACAACAAGGCTGATGGTTCAAGCCCACTAGCTGCTCCATGGGATAAAGATAAAACTTTCTGCTTCTGCCAAGATTTATGGCCTTGGAAATTCTAGTCATGTTCACTATGATTCATAACCAACTCGAGAGCTTTTTTACAACAAAATACATATATGTTAATATGTATTGCTGGGATTTTAATAAAAATTATGCTAAAATGGCATCTGTTTGGATAATAACTTGTTTCCTGTGTTCCAATTAACAAAAGTGGTGTGTTTCTCATTTATTTAAATCTTTGGGTTCTTTCATTCATATTTGCACCTAAGTATTTTTTCGGTGTATGTAAAATACTTATTTTTAATTTTGGTGTTTTAGTATACAGAAAAACTGATTATTCTGGAACGGTGCTGAACTCATTTGTTGTTGGAGGTTTTTCTTTAAGATTCCATGGAAGTTTTTACATAGACAATCAGGCCATTTACAAACAGGAACAATTTAATTTTTTCTTTCCAATCTTAAGTTCCTATTGTTTCCTTTTCTTGACTTACTATACTGTCTTGGATTTCTAATACTATGTTGCATTAAGGATGGTAAGAGAAAACTTGGAAGGTATTGCTAAACATAATTTTTAAAGATTTTACAAAATAACAATACATGCTTACTATAAAACATTCAAAACACATAAAAGTGAATAATATGTTCCTACCCTCCAAGGTAACCACTGAGTCATATTTCCTTCCAAACCTCTCCCTAATTCATAGAACCACACAAAATCTATACACACATATATGAATGAATGTATATACATGTGCATGTGTATAACTTAGAGACATGTCTTCATAGATGTGCATTTTTTCATTTATTCATACACTTTTGGTCAACTTTCATGGCAGCTCATACTGCTCTACCTGGTTCTTTTTAAGGGCGTACAATAACGTGTAAGAATGAAAGAGGTTGCTGACAAGTAAATACTTCCATCTTTGAATCACATTAGCTCCTGGTGTGGCACTGTGGGTTAGTGCACTGGACTGCAAGGTCATTTGAACCACAAGTGCAGCGAGCAGTTCAAGCTCATCAGCTGCTCCGTGGAAACCCTATACAAGGTCACCTATGGGTCGGAATAGACTCAACAGCACTTAACAACAATATCCCCAGAGATTTGAAGCAGAGCCCATTGTCTCTATAAGTCTTCCCAACTGATGTCAGGACAGTGTTGTGATCAATTACTGCTTCTTATTTTGTGTGCAGGAGTGCCAACATCCATTTCTTAGGTCAGAATGTTCTCACTTAGCTAACTAGAACCACTCATGGTGTATAATATTCTAAAACAGGCTGAGACAGTATCTCTAGGCGTGGTATCTATCTATCTATCTATCTATCTATATATATTAAAAATTCTTAACATTGTTCAGAAGATTAGCCAGTTTTAGAGTTATAAATCAAGACCATGTTTTATTCGTTCACAATCTCACTCCTAGCTATTGTCCACTTCCCAAGCCCAGTCCATTTGGGAGTATTTGCTGAGTCACAAACATGCCTAGCTAATCAATAGTCATTTCCAGGCCTTGTTTATACAGATTTCTTTACTTGTAGGTTCTCACCCTTTTTTGCACTATACCTTTGCCTTTGTAAATTGTTCATTCCTTAAACTCCAGTCCAAATGCTACTTCCTCTGAGATATTTTAGCTGGAAATAGTTTCTTACTATGCAGATTATTTGTATTTTTTAAATGGTATTGTGTGATACATTTATTATATTTCTCACACTAGAAGAGCTGGATTAGGTCTAATTTTGTATTGTCATTTGTTACAGTATTTACTGTATGACACACACTATATGCCAAGTCTTGATATGGCCCAACTCATGTTAATAGGATTGTTGAGTCAGAGTTTCATTTAAACTGTAATTTTTGAAAAATTCTAAATTTTATGGAAAAAAAAATTTTTTTTTGTGTGCCTGGGTTGAAAATGAATTAATTTCCCATCCTCTTCATAACTTAAAAGATCTCAGAGTATGTATGATTACAGGGAAAAAATTAGGAAATAAATTATTATTTCATTCCCTTATTATATAACCAATCCTGAAACTTGTAAGAACAGAACATTAGTTTATTTTTACATAAATTTTATTAATAAACACAGGGAAACAGTGACATAATACATTAAATTTTCAAAGTGTCACCATAACATTCTAAAATTAAAAATTCAAATCTCTAAATTTTATAAACATTTTCCATGATAATCAAAAGAAAACCCAGTAATTACAAATATGTATATTTTACAAAGAACTTCATTTATTATCATGGAAGTTACTTGCATTACCAAGAAGGGATGAATTATGACTGAATCTCATACCCTAATGGGTCATGTCCCTGGTCTAGAAGCACTAGAGAAGATTCCCTTAACTTCTGTAGCAACTTCCTTAGTTCTTCCTTAGAAAATACCTAATTTGGAAAAATAAAAAGTTTAAAAAATGAGAACAATGAAGATCATGAATTTACAGTCACCTAATCAATCTAATTATGCAGCTCTGGTAGCTCAGTGGTTACAAATTGGGCTGCAAACCGCAAGGTCAGCAGTTCGAAACTACCAGCTGTTCTGCGGGAGAAATATGAGGCTTTCTGCTCCTGTAAAGATTTACAGCCTCGGAAACCCTGTGCAGGGTCGCTATGAGTCGGAACCGACTCCACGGCACATAACAACAACAACAATCAATCTGATTAGCTAAATTCCTTTGTAGGATTTACATAGTCAAGGGCTAGTAAATTAAAGTGGTACAGTAATTTCACAATTATTCCCCAGAACAGTCTCAACACCTCTTGCTTCATAGAAATATGCACACATTTTGAAAAAGAAGCACAAACATTAAAACAAGATCATTATTTTCAGCCCTGAACAATTAAAAATGTAAATACATCTTACAAAATTAAGTAATATGACAGAACTTCTAAATCACTAAGATTTAAAATTGCAAATGCTCTAGAACTTACCAGATACAACTTGTGGCGCTCAGAGGATACCATATCTGCTAACTGCAGACATTCCTGATACTGACCAGTATTGTGCAGTATGGTGTGAAGAAGAAAGCACAACATTGGCAGACACAGCTTTCTCAGTAAAATCATCTGATGTGCTCTTTCATGGTCTTCTTCAGCATCCTACAAACAGACAACAAGTGGTCATTTTAACAATTTTAAGCTAAATAAATCCTTATGAGATAAGGTATTGAATCAAAACCAAAACGCAAACCCATACATCTATGGTCAACTGATTTTTGGCAAAGGTGCTAAGTCTATTTGACAAAGGA